CCTTCTGTGATTGACTTATTTCACTCAGCATAATGTCCTCCAAGTTCATCCACATTATGTGGTGTTTTGCAGATTCTACATTATTCTTTAAGGTTGCATACTATTCCATTTGTGTGTATGTATCACAGTTTGGTTATCCATTCCTCAGTTGATGGACACCTAGGTTGTTAAAGGCCTTAATTTTTGAGGTTTATTATCTACCAACCTGGGAGTATTTTGGACCTGATGTCTTTGTTGTATTAGCTTAAATTTTAAAATTGCTATGTTATGAAAATTACCCTTTGAATGATTAACAATACATATGAAAGGCAAACCAAACTATCCTATTAAATTGTTCTTTTACACATTGTATTTATGATAGTATGTTGTAAAAATAAACTAAACTTTCATGCATTTAAAATCTTTTAATGTAGAAATAAAGCAATAAAGCGTATGAAAGTAACAGATTTTCTTAAATGGGAAAAAATATGCTCAAATAGTAAAGCAGTTTGAAATGGAATCCACATTTTCTTTAGTCAATTAGTCTATGGCACATTTTGTAATAAAATGGAACAATGAGATCTTTAAAATTGAAGTCAGTTACTAATGCTTAAAGAACAAGACCAAATCACAAAATCTGCTACAATGTTCTAATAGATTTAAAATTTTGATTTCTAGGCTAATGAGAATTAGAATAAGTTGCTTCTCTTCCAATTCAAAGAATTCCTGTGCAGAGACAGTTGTTTTAAATTTGTATGCAATACAGTGAGTTGCCTACATGCCTATCACCTAGCACAGTGCCTGGCACATAGAAGCTTAACAAATATTTGTTATTTGAGCATGTTATCAGACACAAAAGAGAATTATTTAATGGGAAATCAAAATTACACCTTTGAAAACGCTAGCTTGTTTAATAATGGCTGCAGACATGCTGCTGAGGTCTTCAGCCATTTTTAGAAGGCAAAGATGGCTCCCCTGGCATTCTCAGATTCAGTGACAAGCTGATGGAACACAAGGTGTATGTTCTGAATAAAGCCAAGAGTTTCGTCTAAGTGGGTAGAACTATCCACTAGTTAGTTAAATAAATGAAGGCTCTACAAACTATTTAAAATCACACCATTTCCTATTACTGTTAAATATATTATGAAAAGTGTGGAAAATGAGTGGTGTGGTATGGTGAATATTTAGAGTTAGGCACATGTTCTCCCATCCCCTTAGAAATTAGACAAGCTGGAAGTACACAGCTGAGAAGGTCTGACAGATGGGAAAGCTTTCATGAAATTGTTTTCCTTGACTTAATAGATATTTACCAGAAGTATAGAGATAGGCAATATTTGAGATGCAAATAAATGATTTGTATAATGACTAAACTTGGCCACTGTTATTTGTCTTATCAAAAGCCCTATCATCTGGCAGCAACGCAGCATTGTGGAAAAAGTTGAAAGTTAAGATGCAGGTAATTCTTTGCTCTACTGTTGAAAGTGATGTGTGGTTATTTTAACCTTTGTGAGCCTTGATTTTCTTGCCTGGCTCTGCTGACCATGTGTACTTCCCCAACCTAGGTGCCATCAAGTCGGCTCTGACTCATAGTGACTGTACGTATAACAGCAAAAACATTGCCCAGTCCTGTGCCGTCCTCACAATAGTAGGTATGTTTGAGTAGGTATGTTAAAGACTTCAACTAGGTCCCCAACACCAAACATCTTGAAATATTTATTGGATCAATGGAAGGAGGTATTTCTCTTTTTAAATTTGCCTCCCTGGGTATGTTTTTTCTCCAACAGTGCTTTTTTCCCTGGGTGTGGTCTCCTGTATTTAGATAGCATCCTCAGAATTCATTCAAGTAACCAGTGGTTCTGAAACTTGTGTTGGAATCACGTACACTTGCTTGTTGAAACACAGATGAGTGGGTCCCACCACCAGGGTTAATTAGTCAGGGTTTGAGGTGAAGACAGATAACGTGTGTTTCTAACATTCTGAGGTGATACTGGTGCTGCCGGTCCAGACACCACGCTTGAAGAACCACTAGATAAAGCAATTACCATCTACCCCAGTGTGAGAGAAACTCAATTTACAGGTCACTCGAAACTGAGATCAGTAACACATTTGCCACCTTATATACCTGGCTAGTTTCGCCCCAGTCCCTTCTAGGGACTGATATGAGTCCCCTGTTGTCTCTAGGTCCTTCTATTACTCATGAGCTTTAGAACCAGTTCAGTTTGTTCCCTCTCCCAGGTCTAGTTCTCCAATTGCAATCTTTAAGAGATTTCAGTTTTATTTCTGTCTAGGTCCATTCACTTTCAAGTCTGGTCAAAGCTACTTTCCTCCCCAATCCTTTGACCTCCTAGCCAGGTTAGTGACCATTGAGCCCTCTCTCTTAGGCAGAACTTCCCTGGTTGTGGTCATATGTACTTCCACTTAGTTTCCCTGAGCTGAACTCCCATCTGCATAAACACAACATGGATTCTCCCATTTACTGGGTTTCTCACTGGTTTCCCTATTGCTGCTCAGTGGGAGGGCTGGGGATATGACCCTCCATTCTGGATCCAGCATACTGGTATCTCTGCCATTCCCATCATCTGTCCCCTCTGCTCTCAGCTGTATCCATGTAGCTGTACTCTCTCTATAAAAAAGTTCCTGAGCTTCTCTGTAAGGAGCTCTGGTGGCATAGTGCCTAAGGCATCTGACTGCTAACTAGAAGGATGGTGATTCAAACCCACCAGCCACTCCATGAAAGGAAGAGTGGGCGATCTACTTCCGTAAAGATTTACTGCCTTGGAAACCCAAAGGGGGTCGCTGTGAGTTGGAATTGACTCAATGGTGGTGGGTTTGGTTTGATTTGGGTGAGCTTCTCTGCAGAGTTTTGTCCAAGTTTGACTCCCATGTTTTCATCACCCCACCTCCAGGACCATCTTCCCCAGTTTACTCATTCCTCCAGCATAATACTGCAAAGGACAGTAGGGCAGGGTGTTATTTTGATTCTAATATACCTCTCTCATTCCCAGTCAACCTGATTATCCCTGAAGGCCATTAAGACTTGGGGGGAGAGCTTTCTCCCTGGGTTGAGGAGAGATAAAGCTAAACTATGCTCAAATTACTAATCAGACTTGTAATACTGTACAATAAACTTGGCTTAACCCCAAGCTGAATATTCTATTACTTTATGATTATTCAGAAGGTACTTTAAATGATTAAAGTGCCCTTTGTCATTACGAATATTAATTGCTATGGGTGATGGAAAGTGCAGTCAAGGAAATTAACAGATTTTTCTAGTTGATAGCACGATGGATAGATGAGCTTTTCCTCTACCAGAAAAGAAGATAAAGTAGATAATGCTTCCTGAAGTGTTCAGTGACTCTCTGGCTCCAGTCTCTACTGCCTTTATTTCAAGTTGTTAATGGTGTTAAAACTTCCTAACATATGAAACTGCTTAGTAGGGTATAATTATGGAGGCTCAATTAATCGTTTAAAGCATTAATAGAGAAATTATTTTATTCTATATATGACTTGAGCACATAATTACTCTTCATAACAATATCTACTTAGTTTTAACCTAAATCTAGGGGTTCCCATCTCATTGCTCTTTTAATAATATATTAAACAAGTCTGCTATTCCTGATGCGATTTGTATTTTCTAGTTTAAAATATGATATCCTTTGATATTTTAAAATTATATATCACAGAATTGCAGCCAACATTCCAAAACAGGAAAGCCACTTACATTCTCACAAAATAAACCTAATTTATGAACTCTTACTTCCAAAGAGTTTCAGGGTCCAATGACCAACATCACTTTTTTTTGCATGGGAGGATCACCAAGGAACCAAGGAACACCTGTGGCTAGTTACAAAGAAGGAATAAAAATGGCTGAGGCCTGAAAGTCCCTGATTTGAACTTTCAGAACTGTGTGGAAATAAATTTTTGTTCTTGAAAGCCCACCTGCTTTTGATATTTCTGTTACAGCAGCAGTAGGAAACTAAGACACAGAGTAATTCACCAGAAACACTATACACAGCTATTTTTAATATTGTAAACCCAAAGTATTATGCAACTTGTGCATTCAACCAATTAAAGACTTACCAGCATTTAAAGTTCATTTCATTAAGAAGCTGCTTAGGGTATTATTTCCATAATGACCTAGTTGAGAAGTGAAGAATTCCTTGTTTCTGAATTGATAAATGGAGTCTCTAAATGAGCAAGAAAGCATGAAACTCAGGCACAGCCTCCCTCCTAATTTCCCCCTGTCCCCAGTATTGCTGGCTCACACTGTACCTCATTCTAAGAACAGTTCTGGTCCTAGGCAGAAGCTCTGCAAGAAGCTACTATCTCAGAAAGTTATTGTCTCAGAATGAAACTCCTTTCTACCCTGAGGTCTTCTGCCTATTTTCCTGACCCTTTTCTACTCCCTTACACACACACACACACACACACACGTTCTTGGCTCCCAATCCTTTATTCCACGGTCACCTAACCTGGATCTATCTCAGTAATGTTTTGTCTGCCGTACCTACTGAGCTATTCTGTTTGGGCTTGATCTATGTCCTTCCTAATCTCTAAGGTTTGGCTTGACTCTTTATAGGGCTACTATATTCAGGCTCAAAGGAAAAGGACGTCTGAGTTCTAGTGTCTAGTTTGCTAGCAGACAACTGTGTGACTTCATTCACAAGAGGTTGTGATACAGTTGCCGTAGTGGGTCATTTCCAGTGTCTCTTAGTATTCTGAAACTGTAGGAACCAGGGAGCCTCTTCTCTGCCACCCTTCACCCTCCATCTTCTGACTATTGCATGCAGACAACCAAGAGTGCACAGTGCTGAAACATATGGGCAGAACCCCATCACACATTTTAAAAAGAGAAACTTTAAAAGATAATATAATTTATCTTTACTTGCACCACATTTTAGAGCTTATAGAGTGTCCAAGGTGGTATGTTCAGAGTCTTGTTTTATGATTGCATAGCTGTATTCCCAGTATTTGAAGGTAGCTCCTCCACATATGCAGCAGGAAAATGGCCTTTCTTTCCGTTTAAAGATCCAAACCACCATCCTTCTCCTTTTTTCTCATGGATAGCCACAATGTCGCCTGTAAAGAAACACATATAGTTAGATAATCAAATGACTCTCCACAGTCTGAACACATGATTGAGCTTGATGGGTAAGTTAGTTCTAAGAAGATTCTGCTTTCAAGGGGTTACTTAGTAGCATCTTCCGCATTTGATTCAGATGAAGAATTCCTTGAGCACCTATTGTGTGTAAAGCAGACATAATGCAGAGACTACTTTGAGTAAGATACTGGACAATGGAGTTATACCATTAAATGATTTGCTTAAAAACAAAATATGAATCATATGTCTGTCATTCTAGTGGCACCTGACTCTCTTTGTATTTATCTGATAAATTGTCACCAAACTCATTCTCAGCGTCAGTGCTCTAAGAGTTTCACTTGTTGGTGGCCATGATCATTTGGTATGTTGACTACTATGTCTTAGCTTCCACACTTTTCTTGAGATCAGACAGCTTCCCTCCATCACACTTGGCTTCACAGTCCAAAATTTCAATATACATCTTAACACAGAAATATAAAGTTACACACCAACTTGGATAACTTTAATAAAACATCAATTTGAAGATGGTGGTGTTGCAGGCTGCTGTTGAGTTGACCCCGACTCCTGGCAAGTCCGTATACAATGGAATGAAATGCTGCCAGTCCTGTGCCATCCCATGATCAATTGCAGATCTGATCAGACCATTGCAATCCATAGGGTTTTCATCAGCTGATTTTGGAAGTAGCTCACCAGACTTTTCTTGCTAATCCATCTCAGTTTAGCTCCTCTGAAATCTATTCAGAACCATAGCAACATGCAAGCCTCGTGTGTTGGCTGCACATGAAGTATATTGGCTGGGAATCAAACCCAGCTCTTCCACACAAAGGTGAAAATTCTACCACTGAACAACCAATGCCCCATAACTTGAAGAAAGTATTCCTATAAAGCAATGATTCAAATAAATAGGATTCCTAAGAAACATGGCTCTGCCCTAAGTGTGACAGTTAAGGTTATGTGTCAGCTTGGCTGGGTCTGGTTTTGAGTGGCTGGGCAGCTGGATTTAGTTATTCTCCATGATGAGATTGATGATCAATTCCCTGGTGAAATCTACTGGAGTAGCTGCCTTAGGGATGTGATTTGCTTCTAGTACATAAGGAAAAGTTTTGAGCAAGGTCTCTGCAGCTTTTTGATACACTTGGACTCTGCATGTAGCTGAGTCTTCATTCAGCAGCCTGTCATGCCCTGCTGATCTTGGGACTTTTTCTGGACTTGAACTAGTGGCCTGGTGTGTTGTTTGATAATCTTGGGTCTGTGCCTTTTTACTTGTCCACCTTGGGTTTGCCAGCTTCAGCAGCCAGCAGCTGCCTGAGTTAAGAGAAGCTGCCGGAGTTAAGAGAAGCCTCCAGCTTCAACGGGCCAGGAGCAAGAGGCAGAGCTGAAGCCCAAGGTTGAGGGGCTTCATCCAGCCCCTAGAGCCTGGCACTCTGAACTTAGACTTTTAGCTTCCAAAATTGTAAGAGAATAAACTGTTTGTTAAAGTCATCCACCTGGAGTTCCGGCAAGATGGCGGACTAGGCAGAAGGATTGCAAAGACCCTCTTCAACAAAGAAAAGGGAAACCAATTAACACAGACACAGAAGATAATCTTGGACCCCTGAGCCTTGA